TTTTTTTTACCATTTACATGCTTTATGCTAAACTGCATAAGCATTTATTTCTGTGTTAAAATGTCGTAGTTTACTCTTAATTGTCCCCTAAGAAAGAAAGCAAAGAAAGAAAGCAATGCTCACTGCAGTACTTTCACATTTGTAGTATAAAGACGTCTCTTCCACATTAATTTTTCTATTCTCATATTATTATTATTATTATTATTATAAAATCTCACTGGAGACGCCAGGGAAATCATTACCAGTGGTTCTGAAAGGAAAGGCGAGATCTTTGCACTGTAAATGAAAAAAGACACCTTTCTTCTGGCTCTAGTATTTAAGATGTCTTTAAGTATTTTAGCTAATGGCACATAAAAGTCAGAATTGTCCAATTACTGGTATTTGCAGTGATCCGCATCTGCTTACTTCATGTAAATACAGAAAATGAACAAAGACTTAGCCCAACTTCAGCCCGTCCCTGGTTTTTAATGAGTACATATATAATACAGTTCATGCAGCTCTGTTGCTGAGGCTCAGAAAAAAAGATCAATTTTAAGCACAAGGTGAAAAAGCAGCGCCTAACCTTAGCGTGATTGATGCGGACAGACAGCTCTTTAGAGGCGAAGCCGCCAAAAATGAGGCTGTGTGGGGCACCGATCCGTGCACAGGCCAACATGGTGAACATGGCCTGTGGCACCATGGGCATGTAGATGACAACAAGGTCTCCTTTCTGTACCCCATTCTTCACCAAGACTCCTGCTAACCTGGACACCTGGATTGCAGAGACACATGGAGACAAAGCACAGATTTTTTTCTAAGTTTCCAATCTTTTTTTTCTTAAATTCCTGCATGAATTATTTTTAAATGTCTGCTCACAACAACCGTAACCAATATGCTAGCACAAAGCAGAGCTGATAACAAGGGTGGAATAGTCTTATGCATGCTGCATATGTTGTTGGATAATTAATGTAGAAAGAAATGCTTAATTTATCCATGGTCCAATTACTAATTAGCTTCAGTTGGAAACAATCTAGAAAGAAAGTCAGTATCTCTTAAATTTCATTAAATGTCATTAAGCCCTTGGGCCAAAAAGACCCTCAAAAAGACCCCCAAATAGTTTTTTTTCATTTAAAAAAAAGAAAGAAAAAAAGATTGAGTTGTTTTAACAGAATAATTGGTCCAAATGTCAATCGACTCAGTCATTTTCCCTTCTTTCTTCTCTTCTGTTTGCTATCTATATGCTAATTATGGTTCAAACCAGCCGTCATGCTACAAAACTCTTGGCCAACTCTTTGATATTTAATGTCCAGAGAGCATTACAGTTTCTACTTTAACATGCTCATAATCCCATAATTTGTTTCATGCTGCAAAATAATGTCATATCATACTGCCATCTATGTCCATGTGCTGTTCAATTCTGCAAGCTCGGTTTTTATTAAAACTATTTACCTGGTCCTGAAGTTCCCTGAAAGTGATGATCTGTTTAGTTCCGGTCACCGGGCTGTCGTATATGATCGCAGGCTGCTCTGCACGGCCGCCTTCTACGTGTCGATCGACGGCATTGTAGCACATGTTTAGCTTTCCGCCGACAAACCTGACAGAGACATACACCTTCAAACAACAAGTAACGGACACATGAACAGAGACGCATGTCAATACTATAGTTACCAAACAGATTTCAGGTGACCAGTCATGTGCCAGCATCTTTACCAGCATAAAATGTGGGGTTTTGCCTGGTTTAGAGCTCATTTTTTTAAAAATAAAAACCAGTCTGAGCCAAACATATGCAGCTGCTTTTGACAGTTGCACACAGTGAACCAATGTTCTTGATAAGGCAATCGTTTGAGCTCATTCTGGCACTGCGCATATGGATAAAGAGCAGCAGGCAGGTTGAGCAGATGGTGTCTGGGATCTGCTGTTTTGGAAGCCACATAGACATACAGACACGGTGGCCGTGTCCTTCATTTTCACTGCAGCACATTCAGACAGCTCTCTTTTCCTATGATACATGGTATAGCTGACAACTCCACCCACGAAACAAAAGAAAAAAGAAAGGAATTTCAGTTTATACTATTCTCAGTGCAGGCTGCTGTGCCACATGCAGTTTTGTTTTACAGCTACATTTTGTTTTTTCTTTTTCCTGTAAGCATCCTATAATTTACTTTCACATCTTTAACTGTGGATGCAGGTATAATTACCTTTTTTAAATTTATTTATTTATCTTTTGCACATCGTAGGAAACTAACCACATTAATCACCTCACATCCTTTGATAGTTTTAATGGTTTCCAATTTTTTGTTTGTTTAATAAATGCCCTGAACATGTCAGGCCAAACCATAACATCTGTTCTGAAAATATTACTTTTAAATATTTAACAGAAAAAATATTGCTTTTAAAATCTGGGAATTTGACACTTTGTCATATCTAATTGTTGCTAGTTGGCTGCTTGGCCAAAACTAGTGGTGCTCTGAGACAATTTTTTTTTTCTACTAACCCTTTAAGGTGGCAGCAACCTGATGAAACGACTTGTGTTTTATTTCTTTGATAAAAAAAAATTATTTATCCTACTTTTTGGAGCTTAGAGGGGAGGATAGTACTCAACCTTTGGAGTACTAGTGCAGTCTGGTACTCCATTACAATATCCTCTCCATGCCCCCAACATGCACACATATACACGCATCATCATCACCTACGTACACACAGTATTGTTTACCCAAACATATATCATACTTCTGACTCTTGACTGACCCTTGATTTCCTAATTATTCCTCAAGCCTCATCTTGGGGACCATCCTTCCTCACTGACATGCCCATTAAGTTAACTGTTCTCACTCTCACAGGGAACCGCCTTAAATGTTCAATCATATTCGTTCCCTCTGTAAAAAGGAAAGAATTGCATTTCAGTAACTCTCAAAAAAGGTCTAAGGAAGACACAGTGGTGACCCAGTGACAGCATCATGAGTGGGCAAGGCTCAATGATGCACATGGGAGAAGAACGCTGTAGAATCAAATTGCCAAAAAAAATGTAATGCTAGTTCCCTTCTATGTTGTATTCTGTCACCATAGAAAAGTATCAGAATACACAGTGGATTGCCGTTTTTTTATTTATATATGGCTGCATAAAACCAGTCAGTGTCCCCATGCTTACCCCCCAACCACTGCCGAAACCAAGAAGAAGGGGGACATGAGCATCAGAACTGGACAGCTGGACAACAGACTCTGATGAGTCACAATTTCTTTTACATCATATGGATGGCTGGGTGCTGTGCATTCTTTACCTGGTGAACAGCTGGCAGCAGAATGCACTATGAAAAGAATGCAAGCCTACTGAGAGTCCATGCCTCCACATTTCTGTTTCGAAAGGGGGCTCCATAAAAAATTTTAAAAAAGGAGGCAGGTGGTCATAATTTAATACCAGACAGATATACATCCCACCAATTAATGCTTTCAAAGTGTTACCATATAGGGGTTCTCCTGGGAACTTCCCTGCTCTAAATACCTGATTCAAATAATCATCTGGGTAGTGAACTTTGCAGCTGTCTGTTAACAGCACCCAGGATAGTGCAATAAGCAAAAATGTGGTTTGTTTTCTGGGGTCAACGCGATTCCATAGACTTTCCATCAACAGCAGAGCCGTTTGAAGTCCACACAGTTCCTGAGCGTCACCCATTGGCTCTCAGCAAAACTACCAATCAGAAGAAATAGGCGTTCCTCCAGGGATCGCTAACAACTTAATAACCAATCATAACAGAGCTGACGTTTCCCCTTCCTAAACCAACCACTCACAACAGGACAACCCTCCAGGTTATCCAGTTGTTAATCGTACAGTCACGCGCATAAAAGAGTAAAATGAGGAAGCTATGTGTGCTGGATGAAGAGAAAATAAACCACAATATCGTGGTTTCTATGTGAGTTGTCCAAAAGTTATTCATTACTAAGCAAATAACACCTTCAGGGTAATGAGATTATTGAGGGCGTGTGTCCTCTCTATGGGATATTATCATACATGAGAGAACGCGTTGAGTTCACTCATGAGACAGGTGGCGGTCACGCACAGGTTGTTTACCACGTTTCATTCCAACTCGCCCACACAACATTTAACACCAGCTGTTCTGCAGTTCACGTGTAGTTCACACTGAAACCTACCAGTTTGGGAACACCGGATCCTCAACGTGCAGAGTTTTACTCCACGGCTCAAACCAGTTTATGTCGCGCCCCACGTCAGCCCAAAACTTCTCAGGGTTGTCCCTGGCCGCCGCGAAGACTCGGCTGTACGCAGCATCAGACGCATGCTTTCTGCAGCACTGCGTGGGGAAATGCGACTTAAAACTCCCAGATGCTTCACCTGCATTTCGCTTTGCTGCTGCACAGAGAGTCCAAGCAAACCTCCCGAGTGTCTTCTTCCGCAGGACAGGAGCGCAGTTATTCAGGCGCTGGACTGAGTGTTTTACCCTGAGAAGCATTGTTGCTGGGGGCGTTTTTTGAACTTCCACGCTGCTTTCCCGCGTCCCTCTTGTTTTTGTGTGCAGCTTTGGAGCCCGCTTCTAGAGTTCAATGCTAAGCGACGTCACCCGGGCCCACTTAAAGGCAGAGGACTTCTGCAGAAATTCTTAACAAGTGCCTCAGGGAAGGCTGTGAACTATGAACTGGATGTAGTTGATGCTGCAGGAGGATTTTAAAACACAGTCAGCGTGATTACACAACACATAAGCTCCACCGCAGCTTTCTTAAACCAACTATTTTGGGTGGAAAATAATCCCAAGACATTTTTCTAACTTTAAGCAAAAATTCTGCCGTGCAGTGCAAAGAAGAGAGGAACATTGTTGATAGCAACTGTACCTCCTGTCCACCGGATTTACTTATTTATTTATTTTTGTTTACTTCCAGCATCATTAAATTTTAATTGTCCTCGAGGTAATATCAATACTCCCCCTTGAGTGGAAAAATGCAAATAGCCCCACATCTGCTGAAACTGATCGTGGCGTGCATTCATTTGTTTGCTTGTGGGTATTAATGGGAATAATTACTCGTGTAGAGTCATTTAAAAGCCTTAAGAATATTTGCATCTTTCATTAAGCCGATTTTCCAATACAATCACAGCACATGAGCAGCGGCAGCAGCTCTTTGTCCTCTCAGATTGTGCCGCCTCATGCACTTCTTTCCCCATCACTGGTAAATACCCATAATACAGCTGACCCCTTGAAGAAGTGTGCCCCTCGTTAAATAACTCATCCATCTGATATTTCAGATCACCTGTTTATGTTTATATGTGCTGAGCAGTTGAACTGTCCAGTATAGGTGGTGCAATGATAGTTTCGTTATTGGTATCAGAACGATATCAGCATTATAAGATCGATACTTTCTTTAAATCCTGTGTGTTTAGTGTGTAGTCCACTGATGTCTTACATAGATTATTTTTGGTAATGAAAAAATATACCTCAAACGTGCGCTATGAAAAGTATCTGGACCTTCTTGTGTTGACTGTGACTTCTGTTTTATTTATAGCCTCCTACAGCACATTTAAACACAGAGAGATCCTTTAGAGACAGGAACATTTACATTGCTGTTTACATCTCAAAAAGCCCCATGGTATCAGGTGGATACTAAAATTTGCACTGTGGCACAATACTTTCCACCAGAGGTGGTCAACTTGAGTTGGATTGCAGCTACTGGCTATGTGACACTTGTCACCATTTCAGTAAAAGTGGGGGGGAATAAAAAGTTAAATCTTAATCCCAGCTAGCAAAAGATATCAGTAATCAGCAACTGATTGATGCCTTCTTACACCCATCACCTGCACGTCTTATCCTGCAGGTATTTGAGCATAACAGAACTATCATTTTCTTTCTTTTTCAGTTTTAAACTAAGTATTGATTCAAATCTCATCATATTTCAACCATGCTTTCTCCTCTCATGCTATAATTTGTTTGGCCAAGAGGTCTCACTAAATCACAGCAAGGAACTGCCATATATATATATATATATATTAGAGTAGATGGTGTTGGCTGAATATGTATCATTCTCTCTGGCACCTTACGCGCATAGACCACTATCTATTAACCACTTTCACAGGCTAATCAGACCCTAAACTTTTCATAACTTTATATAAGCCCTCCGTCTTGATTTGATGTGATGAGTGTGAATGTTTTAAAGCAGAAATCAGCCGACTGCCCTTCAGAAACCGATGGAGAAATGATTCATCACTCTAGCCCGCAGTGTCAGTTTGAAAATCAAATTCGTTTGAAGATAATGATCGCTGTTTTACATTCTGAATGGGTTTTAGATGCAGTTGTCAGAAAGACTAACGAATGATTTCAGTCAATATCATTCATGGTTTTAAGTGAGTGATACTTCATAGCGGTTTATTAGAGCTGAGTGAATTTACTTTCAGCAATTGCTTCATATACAAAATACTAGAGGCACCCAGTCATTACAGGAAATAAATAAAGGTGAAAGCCATTACCCCTTGTTAATTATGCTCTTAGTGCATTCATGATAAAAGAGGAGATGAGATGAAGTTGGACTGAGGTATATTTCAAGGCTTTGACAAAGCTCAATATACATTGGGATGTATTCATGTTTTCAGTTTGCAGAAAGCATCAGGATGGAATTATGATGCCGTCACACAATCAGCCATTACTACTTGACAAAGTAAATTGGTGCTGTTTCCCTGAAGGGGGCGTCAGTAGTCTGTTAGAGCTTGGGTGCCAAATTTGTTTCTGTCCATGGGCCACCTACAGCTCAGTTTGAACTCTCAAGTGCACCGAGCACTTTATCTTGAAAAAAAAAATGGACAAAAAAAAGACAAAACAATTCACAAAACAGTTGTTTCCACTTTAGTTTCAATGTAAAAAATGTGCATTCTGGGGAAAAAAAAAACATTAAATGAGCTGTCCAGAAAAACATCCTGAACATCCTCAGATGTCTTAAGAATAAATATGTCTCAGTTTTCCCGCATCCATTCAGTCTGCTGTCATAAATCAAATAATAGTGTCAGCACAGTTCCAGCTCTGTGGCTTAACCACCTTACTTCAGTGTGATAAAGCAGGTTTGTAGCAAATGTCTTTGCCAGTAAGAAGACACTAACACTGCTGATCATTCAGACTTCTGGCTCGTATGAGTTAGTTTGCACAACCAATCTGATTGCATTGTCCATTCTAAACAACTCGCAGCACAGTGCTGACTGGTGTAAATTAAACTGAAATGTCCCTTCTTTCTCTTCTGTTTTCATCTTTCTGTCTCTGCAGAGCTGTCCACTGCAGTGGGCTTTTTAATGTGCAGATTATAGCTGACACGCCATATGTTTCACACTCTGTATTAGAGGTTTAAATCCCATAGTGGTGCTGCCGAAGTGGGTCACAATCAGTGTGACAGGCTTTGTTCAATATAGTATTTGAAGGTGGGGTTCTCTGTGTGCTGGCCTGCCTGACTTCAGAAGGCCAATTACATTCACCTGCCACTTTATTAGTACACTTCATGAGTATCTGGATTCTTTCTGCCTTCAGAACTCTTTTTTTGTCTTCATGGCATAGATTCAATATGAATAAACATTCATCAAAGATTTCGGTCCAGATAGCATGCCATCAGAAATTGTTTACACTATGATCATCAATGGAGATGGTCAGCAACAAAACTCAGGTAGGCTGTTATGTTAAAATGAAGCTCAGGTGGTACTAAGCAGCCCAAAGAGTGCTCAGAAAATATCCTCCACACCATCAGACGCAACCAAGAAGCTGAGCTATTGCAGGATGGATCCACGCTTTCTTGTTGTTTGCACCAAATTCTGATCCTACCATCTGAATGATGCAGCAGAAATCAAGGAAGGGGATGTAAGGGGAGAATCCCAGTAGATCAGCAGTTTCTGAAGTACTCCGACCAACGTCTGGTACAAGCTAGCGTGCCACATTTAAAGTCACTTTAAATCACCTTTCTTGTTCATGCTTAGTTTGAACCTTGTCTTAACCTTGTCTGCATGCCTAAATGCAATAAGTTGCTGCCATATGATTGGCTTATTAGATATTTGTGTTAATGAGCTGTTGAATAGATGTACCTAATAAAGTGACCATTGAGTGTAAATGTCCCACAACAATAAAGAAGAAAGATGATTTTCTGTCATATGAACGGAAGAACAGCAGATTAACAAACTCTCGGTTATTTCAAAACAAGGATCAGTTTGGTACTCTACTTCCTCCCCCCCCCGGTTATCCACACATCCAAAGTTTGGCCAAAGTTTGAGACCCACTCACAAAAGTGCATCTTGACTTGCCTTAAAACAAAACGTTAACTGTGAGATTCATAGTTTACACAACAGCCTGGAGAAGTGCATGCGCATCTCCATCCTTCACTTGGTTGTTCATACACAGGAAATTAGTTGCATCAACTTGTCTCGTTAAAGAATAAATACAATTTTAAAGAATTATCTGTCACACGTTTTTCAAGATGATGTTTTTTTCATTATCTGCCTGGCACCGTCTGATGGAGCAATATAAGCAACCCAGCTGCTGTGGAAAAGCAGCCTGTCATCCTAACACAAAATATCCAATAAATACTTTATTTTCGAGACGTTATCGCTCAACAGGAAATTTTCATCTTTTTTTTTTCCCACTCTGGCATGCCGGATGGATCACAGTCAGTGCGGCACAAGGATTGGAGTCGATGGTTGACAAATTTAATAATGGCCTGTTTTAATAAGCAGTTGTTACCTGGAAATGAAACCCATGTTATCATTTAGTGAAATACTTGTTTCCCTCACCGTAAAACCACAGTCGGATATATTCGAGCTACTGTTTTATAAAAGCTTTACTCTCTGTGTCAACCAAACAAAATCTAACCTTTATGGATTTTATTAGCCTTTTATCAAAGCCATGTGAGTGATATTGATCTTTTTTACGAATGTGTGGCAGGAAAAGGAATAAGGTTCCAATTTTTCCCCAAATGCCCATATGACCTTACCTGTTGAATTCAATTTGAATGGGTACTGATGGGAATTGAAGATACAAATAGAACTTGCACACTGGCTAATGCTCTGAGCTTTGATCTGCTAGGCAAACAGTCCAGCCGTCTGTATTTGCCCTGTCCACATGGCCTCTTGCATCTCCTTCCGTGGAAGTGGAGGCATTTCAGAAATCAATTCACTTGCAGCTTTGCGGCTTAAAGACCAGTGCAGCATAATCCCAACCTCGTAAAAAAAACCCAGACCTGTATTCCAGCCCATATAGATGGAAGCCTGTAATCTCGCCGTGCCCTCTTTCTGTGTGCTCTCTAAGCCCTCGCCCTCTCAAACCGTCCTTGCAGCCTACCACTCACCACTATTTTGCATCTGCACACAGCTGTGTGGGACTGTTGGTGGATTGAACTTGCTTTTACTTAAGGACTATGTGTTTGTAAGAAGCGTGCAAGTTTAGAAACTATTTAATTCAAATGCAGAGGAAGCTGTTAAATATTTAAAAGTGCTGAGAATGGAATTTAAATGATATACAACAGGGGTACGTTAAATTTATTTAATGTTTTAGATATAGCAGCCAATTTGAAGTGAAGTGAGGTAAAGAGGTGTGGTATTTGCCTCCCAGCTGGGTGTGGGCTAAAATATTTAGTGCAATGCATGCCAAGATAAATGGGATTTAAGTAAAATGTCTGTATTTATGAGCCTAGGTTTTGCTCTGAACAGCTGTGCACATACAGTATTAGTATAAGTGCTAGTCATTGCCTCAGGTGTGTATTCATGTTTACAACTTGCATTTGTCATGGCGAAGTCATGGTTTGTGAGCCATGTGACACGTCCTGCTGCCTTAGCATCTCTCCAACCTGGGAATCTCTTCTTATTTCTGTTGAGCATGGCTTCTGTCAGCTGTAATGTCTGCCCATATATGAGACACGCCAAAGTAGCAGGCACCATTAGGCAACAGATCTACAGTAAATGAAGAGAACCAGCGGTTTGGCAC